GTAAATAAATTAAAACAAGCTTAAGAATACCCGTTAATCCTTGTAAAAACATTAAAACAAGCTTAAGAATATCCGTTGATCTTGTAAATAAATTAAAACAAGCTTAAGAATATCCGTTAATCTTGTAAAGAAATTAAAACAAGCTTAAAAATATCCGTTAATCTTGCAAAGAAATTAAAACAAGTTTGAGAATATCCGTTAATCTTGTAAAGAAATTAAAACAAGCTTAAGAATATTCGTTAATCTTGTAAAGAAATTAAAACAAGCTTGAGAATATTCGTTAATCTTGTAAAGAAATTAAAACAAGCTTAAGAATATCCGTTAATCTTGTAAAGAAATTAAAACAAGCTTAAGAATATCCGTTAATCTTGTAGAAAATGTAAGAGATATATGCTGATATTCGTTAATCGTGTAAAAAGTTTGTTTGTTTGTAATTAAGTACGAAGCTACACAATAGGCTATCTGGGCTCTGCCCACCACGAAACCCGAATTCTAGCGTTGGAAGTCCGCAGACATACCGCTGTGCTAGTTGGGGGGGGGGATAAAAGGCATGTTTGGAGTGGTTGAAACTCGCATACTGGTCATCGCTGATTTTGAGTTTTAGTGACTGGTGTAAGAAAATATTGATGGTGCACTACCAAATGTAAATAAGTAATTTCCGTGAAGGTTTTATTCATATTATAATTTCTATATCCATTAAAATGATCTGTAACATGGTCTAAATATCACGTAATAAAGATTGCACAGGTATAATTCTGTCTTCTGCTAGTTACAAGTATTCTATCGATCTACCTCAATCAGACGATATAGGACAACATATATATATATATATACCATGAGACAAAAGCCCCATCTAGAGGACTGAAATTTAAATACATTTTTTGACAATATACTATATGTAATTTTTAAGAATTAGTACTGAAGGTTTGTTTGTTTATTGTTTATTTATAATTAAGCACAAAGCTACACAATGGGCGATCTGTGCTCTGCCCACCACGGGTATCGAAACCCGGATTATAGCGTTCTAAGTCCGCAGACATACCGCTGTGCCACTGGGGGGGGGCAGTACTGAGGGAATTTAGTAAATAAAGTAAGAAAAGAAAAACGACTTTTACTCTTCACAAAATAATAATAAAAACTATTTTTATTTCTGTCAACGTTTCGCCGTTGCACCTTCACCAGGGCTAGTACTACAAAAATTGTTTGATGCTATTTATTATTATCATCTGAGGATTAAAGAGTGTTTTTTTTCTAATTTTATTGCCAAAGTTATATGTGATTTCTTTAGATAAAAAGCATGAAACCTTTGGCTTTAATTAGCTGTAATATGTTTTGAAAGAAAATTCAGACTTTTCTGATAAAGAAAGACGTACGAGCCAAATATTTCTGCCCAGTTCAGAGAATTTCAAAACCGAACATTGTTAGGCTAAAAAGCAAAGGCAACTATACAGGATAATCATGGTAGATGGCAGTAAATTACTGTCAGAAACGTCTTTCATATAGAACGATCTAGAAATCCTGACGGCGGGGAGGGGGGATAGAACTGATTCCTGACTTGCTTCGATTTCCGTTTGTACATTGGAAACTGAAAGCCTCGTTAATCAGATGTTTCCTAAAGCTCTCCGTCCACGAGAGTAATTGTATACGAGTTACTTTCAACACTATTTACTTTGGATTCATCCATTTTCTTCTTATTGTTTCGCTGACGCGTATTTATTGTTAGCCTATGTATGGTATGGTGATTATTTTTAAGTATTTATGCTTACTTCATGATCTGATTTCAGTTGGTTTATTATACACATGTATAATATTTGAATTAAGGTAATGGTCGGTCGTGGCCTAGTGAACCCGAAACCTCATGATTCGAATACTGTTGTCACAAAAATCACGCTCCGCACTTTGGGGGCCATAAAATTGATATTGAAATCTTCCTTTCGGTGATTCGATCAGACAAGAGTAACCCGAGAGTTGCTTTCTCTCATCTAACATAAAATACCTGCGCTCTGCTGAGAGGTTCAGAGGCTCCTCGTGATTCAGAGAGGCCCCAATATACCGATCAAGCTCCTCCATTATCATCAGTTTCCTCTATAGGTGCCCCTAGGGTGTACGTATCCGAAAACAATTCCCTTTACGACGCCCTCTGCCCTTGTGACACATTGGGTCCGGCTAGTTTATGAGTTGAGGAATTTACGCAATTTCAAACATGGCATTCCCGGGATTCCGAGAAGGCCAGGAATATAAAGTCCGATGCAAAATTTGGCTTTAGCGACCCTGTACCCCCCCCCCCAAATAAACAACAACTCAAAAGTTCAAGTAAACTTTTTGAAAATGGGAGCTCACTGACACCAATTCAGTTATTGTGTAACAAGTATTGTTTTCGTGTTTATAAACCTGTCGAAGTATCGTTTCAAGCGACAGTAGCAGCAGAGAAATGAGCCAATATTCTATTCTTGTGCCACGTTTCTAATTAGTCCTAGCCTTTGATAAAAGAAGATCGACTGTGCTTGAACACCAAATAAAACCAAAACCTATGATTCGAATATATCAGGAACTTCCTTTTCTGGATGTTAAGTTCTTGATGAAAGCAGAAAAGTAACGAAATTTGAGGTGTTAGACAAAACCCTTGCACCTAAAGTTACGTAAAACTCTATTGGATGAAATATCTCAGGAACCATCTTATTGGCCCAGTAAGAGCAAATCTAATTACAGATTACAGTTTATGATTTATAAAGTTTGTAATGAGCTTACAATAAGGGTGTTAATATCGAAACTTTCATGTAAAGAAGATTAAACCTCGCTGCCAGTCATTATTAGTTTGAAGCTTCCAGACTTTGGTGCCAACAATTTGTAGAGTAACTATGGTTATTTGGCGAAAAATGACAAGCTGTTTAGCTTTTCTTTGTTGTTAAGCGCCAAACTACATATAACTATAGTCCTGATCAGAAAAAGAGAGTAGCTCAAGAATCGGCGGTGTTTATTGTTGACCAGTTACTTTTCTCATGTATACGAGTTCAAAATTATAGGCGGCTATGCCATCTCTCATAAAGAGTTTCCATAACAACAACTTCTACGATCTTTTGAAACGCTATACATGGGCCATCTGTGCATAGCCGTATCTATTTTGAACTGATAGGCTAAGCTAGTTATCGGCACCCACCACCAAGTCTTTGGCCACTTTCCTCTAACCGAATAGAGGGATTTGACCGTCATTTTTATAGGGCATCCACGACCCCTAACTACCGTTTTGAAAACAACAGGCTGCGAGCCGTGAATCATCGGATCCACGTACAATTCGGGCATGCTAACCCAACGGGCCACGCCCGGCATGACTCTAAACAGATAATACAACAAATTTTGTTGCGATAAATGACAAGTTGATCAATATGATTACTTCAGTATTAACTGAACGTTTGGAAGGAACACGCATGGAATTCTTGTGTAAAATCTCGATTTCAAATATAAGCCAAAGTTTTTTTTTTTTTCATATAACGCGTCATTCACAGTGGGAAGAAATATAACGTAACGACGTCATTTCTCCAACCAAGGCTGATTTACGACTTAGGTAGGAGAAAACGCTGTCGTGTTTCTTTAAAGATACTGGCTTTGTGCTTGTGAAAACGTCATTATAGAAATGAAGTGAAGAAAAATACTGAGATAACAAAAATACCATTCTAAGGTAACTAGTAAAAAACTTTGTGAAGCAAGAAACGCTTTTAGTGTAAGAAATTTCAAGCTTGGCAGTGAGTCTCGAGACTAGAATTTCATTACTATTGAGGTCCGGCATGGCCAGGTGGTTATGGCGCTCGACTCGTAATCTGAGGGTCGCGGGTTCGAATCCCCGTCACACCAAACATGCCAACCTCCGCCTTTGCCTGGTCCCAAATCCAGGATGAGAAAGGGGGAGGGTTGGGCGCGGGGCTAGCAACTCCACCCCGTAAAAAACAACATGCTACAAGTAACTGCAACAACACCTTCCGTTGGCGAGATGTTGTTACGGCCCTATGCTCCACTGGGAGTTTACAGAAATAAATAATAAAAAAAATGACACTATTGACTCTCTCCACCTATCGGTATTAATATTACTGGAAACTAATTAGAGTTTCGAAACCATTGTTTGTTTGTTATGGAGTTCGCCCAAAGTTACACGAGGGCTATCTGCGCTAGCCGTCCCTAATTTAGCAGTATAAGACTCGAGGGAAGGCAGCTAGTCATCACCACCCACCGTCAACTCTTGGGCTACTCTTTTACCAACGAACTGACTTACTTGATTGAAGTCTGTCAAGTGGTTATGGTTTGATTTATTTGTTGTTAAGCGGAAGGTTACACGATGGCTATCTGACCACCACAGGTTTCGAAATTTGTTTTTTAACATCGTAAACCTGCAGACTAACCGCTGAGCCACAGGGGGGGGGGGGGAGACGGTAATGCCAAATATGTTAAATAAAACAAAATACTTAACGAGTATTTTATACCTGACAAATTAGAGTTTTAAAGCCAATAAATCATTAGGACTGTGCATTGACCAATGGTGTGTGTTTTGGACTGTGGATCTGAGATTTCATACTTTGCGGCCCGTTATTGGCCAAAAAAAAAAAATCTCGCTCCGCGCTTAGGTGGCCCATGAGAGCATGCACAAATCCTACTATTTAATTAGACAAGAGTAGCCAAAGAGTTGGAGGGGGATTCTGTTGACTTCCCTGTAAACTATCAGTTCAAAATTAGGACGACTTTGCGTAGATAGCCCTTGTGTAGCTTTGCGCGAAATTCGGAAACAAAATTTTAAACTTACCGAACTTTGAAAAAGACAGAATTCACGTTCCAGTGTTGTAATACAGCTTGTATCATAGACGCTATAAAACTAGTCACGTTGACTAAACTCACGTCTCAGTGTTGTAATACAGCTTGTACAATAGACGATATAAAACTAGTCACGTTGACTAAACTCACGTCTCAGTGTTGTAATACAGCTTGTACAATAGACGCTAGTCACGTAAGGATCCCGGTTAAATTAGAACTACAATTAATAAAAATGTCAAGTAAGCGGAATAATAGAAAAAAAAAAGAGACTCATTTTTATAGAGAGACGATGATTTAAGAGAGATTTGGAATAAGTGGAAATTAGTTAAGATATACTCTCGTGGAAAGACAGTGATCAGTGAAATGTACCAAATGAACGTCGGAAATTGACGGAAGTTCTTTTCAGAAAATCTTTTAGATCTTTTCTGGCTAGTTATTATTATTTAAGTAACCTGCAACGACTTAACGTTAAGTACAGAGTTAAAGACATGAAACTGATTGACTTCAAGAGGTAGACATTAGCCTATTTTAGAAAAAGTAATTAAAAAAGATAAGGACAGTTATATTATGTCAAATGATTGATCTAATTTGTGAAAAAGGAATTAAAAAACCCGCTTTTTTAATATTCTAAAACGAGGTTATTTACATACGTGTTCCCGAGTTGGTCAGCGGTAGGCTTACGGACTTACTACTCTAAAATCTGGGATTAGATTCCTTAGGGGGGGACAGAGTTCAGATAGCCAATTGTGGAGTTTTATACGCTAAAATAACAACGGCCCGGTATGGTCAGGTGGTTAGGGCGCTCGACTCGCAATCTGCGGGTCGCGGGTTCGAATCCCCGTCACACCAAACATGCTCGCCCTTTCAGCCGTGGGGGCGTTATAATGTGACGGTCAATCCCACTATTCGTTGGTAAAAGAGTAGCCCAAGAGTTGGCGGTGGGTGGTGATCACTAGCTGCCTTCCCTCTTGTCTTACACTGCTAAAGTAGGGACGGCTAGCACAGATAGCTCTCGTGTAGCTTTGCGCGAAATTCAAAAAAAAAACAAAAAAATAACAACAACAACAACGTTGCCTAGGCGACAGATTTAGAATGGAACAAACTGTCAGAATTCCCGATAATTGGAGAAACTGGTTTCAACACGTTCTGAAACAACGTGAAACTGAAGAGGATTGTTGTTGTTTATTGGAGCAAATAAACGGGGTTATCTAGTTTTATTGGACGTTAAAAAAGGTAAAAAGTCAATGTGAAATATGGCAAAAATGTAAAAAATAAATACAAAATTTTACTTTTAGTGTTTCACAAACTAGCAAATAAGAATACAAAATTAAATAGAACTAAATAGTTCAATAGCAAGTAAAAGAGTTAAAACATGGTCAGTCTGAACAGTGCCACCGTCGCCAGTGACACTGCCCAACGTCAAAGGTTAGCAACGAGACAAAACATATCTAAATTGGTGTTTACGCTGGTGACCGTAGCAACACACAAAAGTAAATTATAGAGTATCGTGATTTGAGTGTCACAAAAGCCACACATGAGTAGACCAGTCCCCTGTAGAAGATTGAAGAAAACCCACGAATGTGTCTCCAATATCAAGACTTCAGACAGTTTGTTACATGTTCTGTGGTTGTTGAGTACAACGTCAGGTTTTTGGTAATAAAGTCAAAGTTTGGTTTGATTTGAATTTCGCGCAAAGCTACACAGGAATATCTGCACTAGCTGTCCGTAACTTAGCATTGACAGATTAGAGGAAAGGCAGCTAATTAACACCACCCACCGTCACCTCTTGGGCTACTCTTTTATCAACGAATATTGGGATTGACCGTCACATTATAACATAATTTAATTCCAGTATTCTATTAAGATATACATAATTTAATTCCAGTATTCTATTGAAATATATATAATTTAATTCCAGTATTCTATTAAATATACATAATTTAATTCCAGTATTCTATTGAAATATACATAATTTAATTCCAGTATTCTATTGAAATATATATAATTTAATTCCAGTATTCTATTAAAATATACATAATTTAATTCCAGTATTCTATTGAAATATACATAATTTAATTCCAGTATTCTATTAAGATATACATAATTTAATTCCAGTATTCTATTAAGATATACATAATTTCTATTTATAGGTAATAACTTTTATTCTTAACAAACAAAAATGTTCTATATTTTATACTTTATGGAATTACATTTTTATAATGTTATTTTGTAATGAAATAATTGGTTTTAGTGTAGATGAACAAGTTTCTCCC